TTGGCTGAATGGTCAGGGACTTGCAAGGAACTTGATTGGAAAATAGGAGATAAGGAGGTATGGGGAAGAGGTATGTGGATAGACCTCTCTGAATGGACCAAAGAAGTGAAGATATTTGTTTCTCATGTGAATGCTCACCAAAAGGTGCCCTTGGCAGACGAGGATTTTAACAATCAAGTGAACAGGAAGATGCATTCTGTGGAAACCAGTCATCCTCTTTCTCTAGCCACTCCCATCATTGCCCCATGGGCTCATGAACAAAGTGGCCATGGTGGCAGGGATGGAGGTTATCCATGGGCTTATCAATAAGGACTTCCATTCACCAAGGCCAACTTTGCTACAGCCACTGCTGAGTGCCCCCTCTGCCAGCAGCAGAGACCAACACTGAGTCCCCAATATGGCACCATTCCTCAAAGTGATCAACCAGCAACCTGGTAGCAGGTTGATTACATTGGACTGCTTCCATCATGGAAAGGGCAACATTTTGTTCTTACTGGACTAGACCTTAAGCTGGATATGGATTTGCCTTCCCTGTAGACAGTGCTACTGCCAAAACTACCATCTGTGGGCTTACAGAATGCTTTATCCACTGTCATGGTATCCCACAGCATCACCTCAGATCAAGGGGCTCACTTCATAACAAATGAAGTGCGACAATGGGTCCATACTCATGGAATTCACTGGTCTTACCATGTTTTCCATCATTCTGAAGAAGCAGGCTTGATAGAACAATGGAATGGCCTTCTAAGACACAATTACAGCACCAGCTAGGTGGCAATACCTTGCAGGGTTGGGGCAATGTTCTTCAGAAGGCTGTATATGCTCTAAACCAGTGTCCAATATATGGTGTTGTTTCTTCCATATCCAGGATTCATGGGTCCAGGAAACAAGGGGTGGAAATGGGAGTGGCACCACTCACTATTACCCCTAATGACCCACTCATGAGATTTTTGTTTCCTGTCCCCGCAACGCTATGTTTTGTGCATCTAGAGGTCTTAGTTCCAAAAGGAGGAATGTTCCCACCAGGAGACACAGCACAGATTCCATTTAACTGGAAGTTAAGAATACCACCTGGCCACTTTGGGCTCCTTTGGATCAAAAGGCAAATTAAGGGAGTTACCATACAGGCTGGTGTGATTGATCCTGATTACCTAGGGGAAATAGGATAGATATTACATAATGGTGATAAAGAAGGGCATGTCTGGAATACAGGAGATCCCTTAGGACATCTCTTAGTACTGTCATGCCCTGTGATTAAAGTCAACGGAAAACTACAGCAGCCCAATTCCAACATGACTACTAATGCCCCAGACCCTTCAGGAATGACAGTTTGGATCACCCCACCAGGCAAAGAACCATGACCAGCTAAAGTACTTGCTGAGGGCAAATGAATATGAAATGGATGGTGGAAGAAGGTAGTTCTAAATACCAGTTATGACCACATAACCAGTAGCAGAAACGAGGACTATGATGATTATGTGTATTCCCTCCTTGTATGTGTGCATCAAATATTTTTGTTTTCTTCATTTATAAAATATAAGATGTAAACGGGTTTTCAATTGTATGCATGCTAGTTATATCATGTTAGGTGCAAGTATGACTTTGCAATTGTCTTTATTTAGAGATTGTGTATAGCTTAAGGAGATGTATACAGGTGCCAAGTTGACAAGGGGTGGACTGCTAGGCCATGATTCTCAGTGGTTTGGCAGTTATCTAATGATGTAGTTTGGCGATTATGTAATGATGTAGTTTTGGCAGTTATGTAATGACATAATTTGGCAGTTATGTAATTATGTAGTTAACCTCTATTTTGTAATATAATGTAATCACCTCCATGATGTGATCTGACATGATCAGCCAACCCGTATGTGGCCTGCATCCAATATTATGAATGTTCTGGCAAAGCTCTCTGGCTTTTGCTCACTCTTGATCCTGCATCCCGCTTGTCATCATCTGACCTCTGGTTCTTGGGATTTGAACCAGCAGCCTGCCATATTGCCTGCCAATCTTGGGAGTTGTCAGCCTCTGCAGTCTATGAGCCAGCAACCTGCTGTTTTACCTACAGTCTTGGATTCATCAACCTCCACAGCCTGTGAGCCAGCAGCCTGCCGTCTGACTTGCCAATCTTGGATTCATCAGTCCCTGCAGCTATGTGAGACGGGAGAAGTCTCCAACCTCACACCTGACCCACAGACTTGGGTCTTGCCAACCTCTACAACTGTGTGAACCATTTCCTCGAGATAAATCTCTCTCTCTCTCCTTGGTGGCACAGTGGTTAAGAGCTACAGCTGCTAACCAAAAAGTCAGTATGTTGAATCCACCAGCAGCTCCTTGGAAACCCTATGGGGCTGTTCTACTCCATCCTCTTGGATAGCTATGAGTCGGAATTGACTCTACAGCAACAGGTTTGGTTTTGATTTATATATATATATATATGCACTTCACTGATTTTGCTTCTCTAGAGAAGCCAGCCTAAGACACCACTCAAGTTCCAATGCCTGCCTTTGCAAGTATCCATTTTAATGATTCTATGGATGACCCAGACAGCTGTTTGAACTCTTGATTAGCCTGACCCAGAGGTCTGACCAACGAGGGTCTGTAAATATTCCTACAAGTGCCAGAAGCACTTGGCAGTCTGCCTTATCACTAGGGCAGAGGAACTTGGGGGTTACATTAATTTTCAGAGGCGTTTTGTGTCAATAAACATGTACAAGCACCTACTCTGTGCCAGGTATACTGCTAGATGCTGAGGATCCACAGGTGCAAACAGTTTCTGCCCTCTAGAAACTCATAGAAGGAATCAGATAAACGAAGTAGGTGTTGTGGATGCTAGAAGTAAAAACATGCATAAGGTTGAATAGAGACACAAAAGTTGAAGTTATCACATCCTTGGGGTCACCTCCAAGTACAATAACTACAAAGAAGGTGACAGTTGAACTCAGAATTAAGACAAGATGTTCCTAGGCAGACAAGACTAAGAAAGAAATTTCAGGCAGAGGAAACAGAGAGAGCAAATGTAATGAAAGCAGGCAACAGCATGGAGTGTTGGGGAGATTCACAAGGACTTGGATCTATATCCAGAGCATAGCAGTCAGGAGGAGTTCAGAGAAAAATGTGATCAAGGCAGACAGGAGACCAGCTTCAGGGCCCTGGCACAAAATTAACCATCAGGGATCAGCACCCTGGGTAGGAGAAGAGAGAAGACAAATTTGGGAATGATTCCCAGACTGGGATGCTGCAAGGCAGATTTGGGTAAAGAAAAAATAAAAGCAGAGTTGAGTTGTGGTGGTGGATCATGGAAAGTAGACTGAGAGAAGGAGGCGACAGTAGCTGAGGCTGACAGGAATAGAGAAAAAGAAGAGGCTTAGTGACCTGAAGTCCTGATTTGTTTGAAAAGTAGGGGAAATGAAAGTGAGGGAGAGAAGGAGCAGCAAGACTAAGCAGAGGTAGGTGGAGAGAAGAACGTCAGAGAGGAGCAGCACCAACTTGTGACAAAGCCCAGAGTGGAAGGGGATCCGCTAAGTGGAGAGGAGGAACAGATGAGTAGGGACTTGTTCGTTAGTTAGTTGGTCAGTTCGTTAGTTAATTAGTAGATGATTGTTATCTTATCCCCAGTGTACCCTGTTGGTGTGATAGAGAGGGAAACAGCAGGTCAGGTTGAAAAATGGGTGTTACCAGTAGGTTAGTAGGAGACTGTGACCAAGAGGGTAGGAGTGAAGGAACTAGATGGCATGAACCTCAAGGAGATGGCGTAGGGGACATGGCCTGGAAGTGGTACTGGGGATGGAAGTGAATACTGACCCCTCTTGCCTCCTGTCTCCATCAGGGTTGAGCATGGCGAGAGTAGGAAGCCCCCACCTCCCCAGGGAAGAGGCCACAAGGGGATTGGTTCCTCCAGAGAGCCAACCCTGGGGAGGCAGCCCTTGTGCCATGTTGGTTTCTGTGTCCTCAGTGCTCAGCAGTGTGTGACCCCAAGTAGAGCATCCCCCACTGAGTGTTTGCTTCTTCCTCCCCACTTTATCTGGCCAAAAGGTTAGGTTGCTTTTCAAACATCCCACTCAGGGAGGACTCCTTCCAGCACCCATAAGTAAAAACATAACTAGTGTGGACCTTAACCAGCCCTGTCCTTTCACAGGCTTCCTGTGGGACGTCCCCGCTAGACAGCAAGCTCTTCAACTTTTGACTCTCCCCTCACCTCTGTCTCCACAGTGCACATTTCTCACACCTCAGTGAGGAGAGGCACCTCAGAGCAGAAGCTCCGTCTCATTCACACAAACACACACACACACACACACACACACGCACACACACACGCTCTGCAAGTTCACACGTATGAACACAAACATATCCATGGACTTCCTGAGGCGGGGCTGGTTCTCAGGACCCTGCTGCCTCTTCCCATTCATGACAATGACCCATAGAAAAAATGTCCACTTGCCCTCAGGCTCAAGGGGAAGGCATGACTTTGGTCCAGGATGTACTTTTGGCCTGAGAGGAGACATCCAACTACCCCATGTCCCTGAGGAGCAACTGCAGTGAAGGGCTGGGAAATAAAGCATCTGCTCCTTCTCTCTGCTCTTTCCTAAGCAGCCAGGTAAGTGATAGACATCTCAGTGCCACACCTGAGTCACTCCACTCCCAACACACTCAAGCACAGACAGGCACCACTTGGGAGACAAAGAGACACCACAGGATCCCAGCTCCATCCCAGGAGAAAAAGAGCATAACTGTGGCTGTGCCATACTAGCAGGGCCCTCCTCGGTACCAGCAGTTGGGCTACACTGGGGGCCTGAGGAGCAGAAGGGGGCCTGGGCTAAGACCAGGGAGTCCTCTCTGAAGTAAATGTCAGCCAGGCTGAGAGAGTCTACAAAGCTGAGAGCCAGTATTTGTCCATTTGTCCACTCATACCACCAAAAGAGAAGGAGCAAGTATCAGATGGAAACAGACCCTTTATTGTTTTGGGGTGTCTCTGGAGGCCTCTGGGCTGGGCTAGGCTGGGATCACTGGCTTCCCCCAGAACAGGGCAGCGCACTGTGGCTCCATTCGTGGTAGTCATTAGTTACGTCCCCCAATAAGGAGAGAAACTCGGAAAAATCAATCCTGTTATCCTCATTCTTGTCCTTTTTCTCAAAGATATTGGCCAAGTAATCTTTGCCCTTTCTTTCCTGTGGGTATAAAAACATACAAACAAGAAGATTCCATCATTAGCCAAGGGGAAGAGGAGAATAGAGACAGATGAGGAGACACCACCTAGGGCTGAATCAAAGGTGTGGTTGGTCAGGTGAGGCTATTGGGAGGGGGTCAAGCAAAGTGAGCAGTAGCCCAGACTCATCACTGGAGATTTCTGGCCAAAAACGGCAGCTTGCATGGGCGCACACTGGTAAATGGACAATGGGGCTTAGGCTCACCCACTCACTCCCCTTCAGGTTCACGGTCTTCATTCTTCCCCCTTGGGACCAATACAGCCCAGCCCTGTTGCATTCCTCATTCTCCAATGCTCCTCCCACTTAAATTCTTTCCCATCAAAACCTATCAGTTCTGCCCCATTTATTCTGTTCCTTAGTCTCAAACTGTGCTAATGATTCCTTCCAACAATTAAGTGAAATCAGCTCTATGAATGCACTTTGCCCGTGTAAAAGATGGTCGCCATGTCTGTAGGGTTCATGATTCCCATTGTGTTACCCCTGCTTCCATGGGCAGCGGTGGTTCAGTGGTAGAATTCCGACCTTCCAAGCAGGAGACCCAAGTTCAATTCCCAGCCAATGTACCTCGTGCACAGCCACCACTCGCCTGGCAGTGGAGGCTCATGTGTAGCTACATTGCTGAACAGCAGCTAACAATAACCCCTTCTCCCAGGGAAATGTGAAGAGGAGCCTTTAGGAGGCAACCTTTGACCCCAAGGGAACTAAACACTCGGAGGCACTCTCAGTGACCAGTGGGAGGGGAGATATTTTAGTCTGTTCACTGCCCTTCAAATCTTAACACTTTCTTGACTATTATACCTGCCATTTTTTCTCATTTTCAAATAAAACACTTCATTTCAACACCACCACTTCAGGAAATTAAGTGCTATTATCTCCTCTTGCAGATGAGAAAACTGAGGATCAGAGAGTGTGGGTGACTTGTCCAGGGTCACACAGAAGGGGAGCCCCAATGGCAGGACAGGACTCCAGAGCTTCTGACTCCGAGTCCTTACATTCTGCCTCCACATGGGACTGGCCCTGCCTGGGGCCTGAGGTAAAATGAGAGGGAGGAGGTAGGGAGAGCGAATCCAGGAAGGGCCAGACTCCAGATCAGCCCATCACAAACAGTGCATCCACCTCACAGTGGGGTCCTCAGACATGCCAAGGTCCATGAAATCCGTCCACCCATCCCTGTCCCCTCTCTGCACACACATACACAGCCTCTTCCTGCCCCAGACAAGCTAGACTCCCATTCACGCAGGCACTGAGGAAGTTGGGGAAGTTCTCCTTCATCATCTTCAGCAGGTTTGACTTGTGTATCTTATCATCTTCTCTGGTGTATTTGTGAAATAGTTTGACCAATTCCAACGCGAACTTCTCAGCTGGAGTGTTGCTCATCTTGGCTTTCAAAAAGGCTGCAAGGAAGAAAGACAATAACGTGTTTTCCTTTTATTCCAAGACGAGAGTCTATAGACAGAAATCGATGAGAATGAGCTGGGCGGAGGAGAGTTTGAGGAACGAGGCTGAGGAGTGAGTGAGGACTGAGCTAAGATAGAACACAAGGAACTTGTCTTTTCTCAAGTGGTGAGGTAAATTGGTCTCAGAGAGGGGAGAGTGGAACCAAGTGCTGGGTTCTGAGACCACTCCTGTGGGGCTCTGGGAGGTGTGGAAGAGGAACTTTGGAGATCTGGGCCTTAATTAGCTAGGGGTGGGGGCTAAGCTGCAGCGGGATGCAATGTCTGCTGGCTCCTCAGGCTGGGATCACAAAGAGAAGCATCAAATCCAGGGACAGGACTTTCCCATCAGGCATAGTCTTTGATCTACCCCATTCTCCCCACTTCCAACTAGGAAATCACCTAGGACCACCAGCCTGGAAAATCAGGTCTAGAATCCTGAGTTTCTTGTTATCTGACACCTGATCATCCTGGGCTGCTCCAGAAGACTCTGAGGGTCAGGGATACCCCTGGTCATCTTGAGGTCTCTCCCTGACTAGCGAGAAAGTCTAGGCAAGCTTCCATTGTCAGAGAGGGCACCAACTGTGGGTGTGGATGTGAGCAACAGAACATCACCCAGAGCACAATACAGGGCTTCCTGGACTACTCCCTGGAAGTAAGAAAGGAACTGGGACCCCAATTGGCATCCTGGTTTAAAATGAATAAAAATGACTGCCTGGATTTCTACAGTGATGATGAGGTGGGGTGGGGGGGTTCTTTGAATTATCTACTGTTGAAGATTATCTGCCTCTAATCCCTCTCTTTAGAGAATAATATCAAGTCCTGTCCCATTTTAAATAAGCAAGTCAGACTTCCAGAAGAAAAGTTCTCCCCTCAGCAGAGTTGGGCTGGACCCAGAGCCCAGGACGTGATCGATGGAGCCCTGAATCCCGGACTTCAAGGCACCCCAGATGCACTCCTGGCCCCCACATACGGACAGCTACTAACAAAACACCATCACCTCCCAAAGAAGGAGAAAGTCCAACCTGGTGGCCCTGAGACAGGAGCACTCTAGACCTTGTAGCATGCGTGGCAGCTGCGGCCAGGCCAGGGTCTAAGTCCAGTGCTCAGAGAGTCATGGGGCATTCCCAGGGGTGAGGAAGTCTTTTGGATTGATTAAGCCATTTCCAAAGTTGGGACAAGATATTTCGAACAAGCAATGATAAATTGTCTTCCCAGGGCAGGTATAACTAGAACCTTACAATCATTCACAGGTCGATTCTGACCCCTCCATCCTCCAGAGCATTCCAGAAGTCATTTTGGAAGACTCTGTGCTCAAACAGAACACTGAAACCAGCGAGTAAAGAAAACTGAGGGCTACACAAGGAAGAGATTTTTTTACCTAAGAGTTCTCAGAAAAGCACATAATGTTGAGCCAAGAGGAATAACTAAGATCTTCTAGCCAAGCCAGCCCCTCACTGAGAAAGGGTGGAGAAGAGGGGATATGGGATTTGCCAGGACAAGCACAAGGTCCCACACTAGTGGCAGAACCCAGACATCCTGACTCCCAGGCCAGGGTAGTATTCCCCCACTCCTGCAGGCAGCAGAGCAGCAGAGCAGGTGGATACCAGGCATAACTCCTAGGAAAGAGCTGAGGACGATCACAGAGAAGAGAATGAGTGAGACTGTGCATCTGAGCACAGAGCAGGCCCTTTATACAGCTCATCCTTGGATCTTCCCAGAGGTTGTGTGTCCTGTGGCAATGTTCGTTAGTTCCCCAAACATTGCTCCACTTTGGGTGGGGAGACACACCCAAGAGGCTGCGCTCAACATTTCCTTCCAGATATACCCAGTCTCCAGTGCCTACCACTGTCAGGCCACATCACCACGAGCTTCTGCCTGGCCCAGGCTACTGGCTGGTGGGAGGAGGTCCTAGGCAAGAGAGGGAGGTGTGGACAGAGATGAGTACCTTGCCATATCTCAAGGATGATGGAATCTAGGGATCTGGGAGGGAAGAAACACCTGTTTTTTCATTCATCCAGTCATTCCACAACATTCTATTGATAGCTAATAATAACCACTTCCTTTTCCGAGCACTGTAATGTGCCAGGCAGTATGTGATTGTTTTACGTACATTGCCTCAGAATCCCATGAGAGTCCTGTGAGTTCATGTAGGGTTCTCTACCACTGTGACGTAGTATTTTCACCTTTTACAGATGAGCATATTAGGACCAAGGTTGGGTTTCTCAACGTTACTCCAATAGAATATGATAAAGTCTGGATTCATACCCAGGTCACTAAAACTGCAAAGACCTCCCTTAGTCATACTGCCCTCCGGGTGAGCCTCTGATGGTGTCACTCTCTGGGCTGAGCAAGGGGTCACACCATTACCTGCCCTGTGGGAGCCCACAGTCCAAGGCAGGTGACCTGCACAGAAGCATTCCACAGGTACCTCCATCCAGGGAGCTGTGTGGGCTCCAGGGCCACAGCAGTGGTGAATTGGGCCTCTGTAGTTCCCAAAGCCCTGGTTGTCACACCCCTTCAGGCCACAAGCCCCTCTACAAGGGCTGTCTGTGGGCACCATTGCCCTGGGAACAAAACCTTTTCCATCAGGGAAGCTGACTGTGTTTTTAAAAACACCATCACTGACATCATCTTGCCAGCTCTTCACAGGAGCCCTCAGAGGGAGACAGGGATTACTGGCAGAGGAAGGACTGATGCTCAGCCAGAGACGGTCAGTGAGAGATGTCAATACCATCTCACCATACAGCCCCGTGGGGCCCCTGGGAGCACACCAGGAACCACTGTCAAGATCCAACTTGCTGTGTGGTCAGCAGGTCGATCACTCTCTCAATCTGCTTCTATTTGGAGAAGGAAAGTGGAAAATTACATTTTTGAGGTTCTTTTGCATCTAGGGCCCAGATACGATTAGATTGAGAATCTCCAGAGAAATTTAGAAGGTGCAGCAGAAGTGGCTACAAAGCCAGCCCCAACACACCTAAGAGTTTGCAGAAACTGTACGCTCAGTGACACTGTCCAGTCATCCACTTTGTGGACATGGGGGCTACAATGGTGCCATGATGGTAACTGTCATAGAAGCAGTTTCCTAAATTCGGGGTCACAGATAGGAAAATAAAATTTGTGTCTTAGTTATCTAGTGCTGATATAACAGAAATACCACAAATGGATGACTTTAACAAAGAGAAGTTTATTTCCTCACAGTAAAGTAGGCTAAAAAGTCCAAATTCAGGGCGTCAGCTCCAGGAGAAGACTTTCTCTCTCTGTCGGCCTTCTCACCAATGTTCCCCAGACTAAGAGCTTCTCCATGCAGCGACCCCCAGTCCAAAGGACAGGCTCTCCTCCTGCCACTGTTTTCTTGGTGGTATGTGGTCTCCCTGTCTGCTAGCTTCCCTTCCCTTTTGTTCTCTTGAGAAATAACAGATGGTGCAGGCCACACGCCAGGGAAACTCCCTTTACATTGGATCAGGGATGTGACCTGGGTAATCCCACCTAATCCTCTTTAACATAAAATTACAATCACAGAATGGAGGGCAACCACACAATACTGGGAATCATGTCCTAACCCAGTTGACACATATTTTTGGGGGACACAATTCAATCCATGACACCTTGCAAGCAAGAGTCCTGCAGTGGGTCTCTAGCTTCCTCTCCTCCAGCCGTCCAAAGAGTTATAAGCCCTGAGTCCCTTGATTGTCTTTCTGCTTAAAATATAGGCTGTTATTTCTGTCTTCTGCACTGAACCCTGACAGTTGCCAATGGTGACCACAAACTCCCAGGTTCTTGAATGCACCTGGAGACATCGGACTGGGCAAGGTGACCTCCCAGCCCTAGGACTCTTGGCTTCCTATGGAGGAAGGCAGTGAAGAGGAGTCATCAGCATCTGTCCTTTCTCTATGCAAAGCAGTCCCACGAGAGTTTGTCCAACACCCTTGTCTCTGATGTGTTCCAGCTTGCTGCAGAAGAGCTGGAGTGGGAAGCAGGGGCTGGGAGGTCAGAGGGGGAGTCCCTGGGGGCACACTGAGGAACAGCTGCACTAAATCACTGAAGTTTACTCTTTCCCTGCTACCCTTGCTCCTAAAGTTCTCCATAGGAAGCGAGGAGATCCTGGGCCATTGAGACTTCCCCAGAGCAATTCCTAATACCACCAGTCTCAAGATTGGATCTGGAATTGATCTTCCACTTGTCTTAAGGCTATAGAAACCCCATTACAAGTGGTAAATGAAGTGATCAAACCCCTGGCGTGTAGGGACAGCATAATTACTGAAGTTTTCCCTATGGAAACTGGGATTAGGTGCAGATAGAAGGAAAAGCACTGGGAGATCAAGTGCTGCAACATTTGCTCAGTATGGAGACGATGATGCTTATAAAGACAGTAGCATGAGGTGGCTTCTTTTTCCATAATTGGAGGCTTTGATAAAAGAAAACAATAGGCATGCAGCAAAAGACAAAGTTCCTCTAGGGTAACATTTAAGGAGACTTTAATCTCCTACAACTGCAGGACATACTGTGCACAAAAATCAGGCCCAGTACCTGATTGTAATGGTGGCTGAGCTGTAAAGGAGACTAAATGCATAGTGTTTGACTTCTATACTAAGGTCAGAGTCCTGACTGGGAAAGATTGGAATTCTGAGAGCTGAGATGGGGACATTTGGATGATAGACCCCCCTCTCAAATTACTCTGTTCCTTTGTTGTTGCCAGAAAAGAACAGCCTCCCCTTCCCAGAAGACTAGGCAATGACCTCATCTAAAGCAGGTGCTTCCCAGGATGCTTGTTCCCCTGGAAATCTTTCTTACCACACCTCATTGCCACAGGCCAATAACTAGAGGCAGGCCTAAACATAATCTGAAGACAAGCCCTGCCACATGCCAAAGGAATTTCAGAACCTGATTAACATGAACCAGCAGAAAGAAGGGGAACATATGAGGATCTTGAGAGTGTTAGATGAGGCAGGTGAGATAAAGGGTTGAATAAAAGAGATTTCACTGACATGGGGGCCCTAGTCCATGACTTGGGATCCAATATTTAGTCAAGGACATCTGGA